CCAGGAGGGAGGCAAAGGTGAAAAAACACGATTTTCGGTGCATTTTCACCGTTACCATGGAAACCGCCAAACAGATTTTCACCCCGATTTTTTTTTAGAAGCGTCCCGTGGGTTTAAACGTTCGGACCAAACATCTTTCAAATCGCTTTACCCGTTCTTGAGATATGATTTTTTAAAGTCGCCCGGAAACCCTTAATACGAAATTTGGCCGAAAAAAAATGGCGCCCGAGGAAATTTTTGTGTGCGTAGCAAGTTAGAGAGTGGCAAAGGGTATTTAGGAAAAATAATAAAAAAATTATTCGTTCGTAATAAACCATCAAAAAAGCAATAAGAAATTTTAAAAACGTCATAAAAAAGTGACAGTTGACAGGTGAGAAATATAAATACGATTCGGGCACCCTCCGATATCTAGGGCATCTACCACTAACATATTCACCCTTCTTCAAAGCACCCAGTTCTCCCAGGAGGGAGGCAAAGGTCAAAAAACACGATTTTCGGTGCATTTTCACCGTTACCATGGAAACCGCCAAACAGATTTTCACCCCGATTTTTTTTTAGAAGCGTCCCGTGGGTTTAAACGTTCGGACCAAACATCTTTCAAATCGCTTTACCCGTTCTTGAGATATGATTTTTTAAAGTCGCCCGGAAACCCTTAATACGAAATTTGGCCGAAAAAAAAATGGCGCCCGAGGAAATTTTTGTGTGCGTAGCAAGTTAGAGAGGGGCAAAGGGTATTTAGGAAAAATAATAAAAAAATTATTCGTTCGTAATAAACCATCAAAAAAGCAAAAAGAAATTTTAAAAACGTCATAAAAAAGTGACAGTTGACAGGTGAGAAATATAAATACGATTCGGGCACCCTCCGATATCTAGGGCATCTACCACTAACATATTCACCCTTCTTCAAAGCACCCAGTTCTCCCAGGAGGGAGGCAAAGGTCAAAAAACACGATTTTCGGTGCATTTTCACCGTTACCATGGAAACCGCCAAACAGATTTTCACCCCGATTTTTTTTTAGAAGCGTCCCGTGGGTTTAAACGTTCGGACCAAACATCTTTCAAATCGCTTTACCCGTTCTTGAGATATGATTTTTTAAAGTCGCCCGGAAACCCTTAATACGAAATTTGGCCGAAAAAAAATGGCGCCCGAGGAAATTTTTGTGTGCGTAGCAAGTTAGAGAGGGGCAAAGGGTATTTAGGAAAAATAATAAAAAAATTATTCGTTCGTAATAAACCATCAAAAAAGCAAAAAGAAATTTTAAAAACGTCATAAAAAAGTGACAGTTGACAGGTGAGAAATATAAATACGATTCGGGCACCCTCCGATATCTAGGGCATCTACCACTAACATATTCACCCTTCTTCAAAGCACCCAGTTCTCCCAGGAGGGAGGCAAAGGTCAAAAAACACGATTTTCGGTGCATTTTCACCGTTACCATGGAAACCGCCAAACAGATTTTCACCCCGATTTTTTTTTAGAAGCGTCCCGTGGGTTTAAACGTTCGGACCAAACATCTTTCAAATCGCTTTACCCGTTCTTGAGATATGATTTTTTAAAGTCGCCCGGAAACCCTTAATACAAAATTTGGCCGAAAAAAAATGGCGCCCGAGGAAATTTTTGTGTGCGTAGCAAGTTAGAGAGGGGCAAAGGGTATTTAGGAAAAATAATAAAAAAATTATTCGTTCGTAATAAACCATCGAAAAAGCAAAAAGAAATTTTAAAAACGTCATAAAAAAGTGACAGTTGACATACGAAAAATTTAATACCGATTCCGGCACCCTCCGATATCTAGGGCATCTACCACTAACATAATCAACCTTCTTCAAAGCACCCAGTTCTCCCAGGAGGGAGGCAAAGGTCAAAAAACACGATTTTCGGTGCATTTTCACCGTTACCATGGAAACCGCCAAACAGATTTTCACGACGATTTTTTTTAGATGCGTCCCGTAGGTCTACACGTTCGGGCCAAATTTCGTCAAAATCGCTTTACTCGTTACTGAGATATGATTTTTTAAAGTCGCCCGGAGACCCTTAATACGAAATTTGGCCGAAAAAAAATGGCGCCTGAGGAAATTTTTGTGTACGTGGCAAGTTAGAGAGGGGCAAAGGGTATTTAGGAAAAATATTAAAAAAATCATTAGTTTGTAATAAACCATCGAAAAAGCAAAAAGAAATTTTAAAAACGTCATAAAAAAGTGACAGTTGACAGGCGAAAAATATAAATACGATTCGGGCACTCTCCGATATCTAGGGCATCTACCACTAACATAATCGCCCTTATTCAAAGCACCCAGTTTTCCCAGGAGGGAGGCAAAGGTCAAAAAACACGATTTTTGGTGCATTTTCACCGTTACCATGGAAACCGCCAAACATATTTTCACCCCGATTAAATTTCTTTGGAAGTGTTTTTCAAAAATATAGGGTTGTATGGGTTTATACTGGGTGGTTAGGAATTTATGGTGGGATTTAGGTAACAAAATGGGTTTATTCAACATCAAATATCTCTAAATCAATAATTTGGAATAATTTTTTTTTCTGCCGAATATTCTCGAAAATAGTGTATTTTCATTTCCTATTCATAATTTTACCGAATGGCGCTTTTCCCATACAGGGGCAACCAAAACTCGGGACCACTTTTTTATCAGTTTTTTCAAATGGAACACCCTGTAAATGAGGCCATACCAGGATAGCCCATACCATGAGCTTTCAAAAAATGTAGGGTTTGCCTACTTGATTTTTATCGGAAATGTATCTAATTCTTAAGGAAAGTATAAAAAAGTTATAAAAGCAATAACTATTTATTTATTTCATTCGAAAAAGCATAAATTCACATCAAATGTTCAAATAATCTCCCATTTTGAGCTATGCACAAATTAAGTCTATCTACATTTGCTCTTCTAACTTCAATTAAAGTTGATTTTGTAATAGAGTGAAAAACTTCTCTAATTCTATTCTTCATGTCTTCTGGTGTCGTTGGTTTTTCGCGGTAGACCTCTCCTTTAACATATCCCCAGAGATAGAAATCTAGAGGCGTGAGGTCTGGATACCTTGCTGGCCACTGAATGGGTCCGTTTCTTCCTATCCATTTATTACTGCGCCATCTGTTTAAAAACCATCTTACCTGATTTTGATTGTGGGGAGGCGCGCCATCATGTTGGTAATATAACCTGAGTCTGGTGTCAATAGGTACATCCTCCAAAAAAATTGGTAAATGATCTCGGAGAAAATCTCTGTAAATTTCCCCATTCAATGGACCATCAGGGAAATGTGGTCCTATGACCTGATCCCCAATGATGCCCCCCCAAACATTTATGGACCATCTATTTTGGTAATCAATTTCTCTGATCCAATATGGATTCTCTGTTGAGTAGTAGTGGCAATTATGTCTATTTACTATTCCGTTACTTTTAAATGTTGACTCGTCACTAAACAAAATGTATTTTAGAAAATTTGGTTCCTCGCGAATGAAATTCAATATATTTTCGCAATAGCGAACTCTGGTGTCATAATCCCTTTCATAAAGTTCTTGATGTAATTCAATTCCGTATGGATGAAGTTTATTTTTTATCAATATTCTGTTCACGGAAGTGTGACTTATATCCAGCTCTCTTGCAATTTCCCTCGTACTAACATGAGGATTCTCTACTGTTGAAAGGATCACCGCTAATTCATTTTCTTCATTTGTTGCAATTTTGTTTACTACTTGCCTTTTCTCGTGCTTGACACTGCCTGTTTCGTCAAATCTTTCTTTAACCCTCCGAAAAGTCTCTGGTCGTATAGACCTTGAATCCGGGTATCGAACTGCATACATTCTACTGGCTAATAAACAATTTCTATCACTCTCACCCAAAATGTAGATCATATTTATCATTTCTTCGGTGGATAATTTCATTTTGAAGCGAAAAATTATTAAATTTCAACTATAAATTATTCTCCTCCTCGATAATTAAATGTCAAATTCCTATAACGTTCAAATGTTTCAAGGGTGATTTGATTTTTTGCTGTATTACAAGATCAACTTTAATGAAAGTTCGAAGAGCAATTGTAGATATGATTAATTCGGGCATAGCTTAAAATGTGAGATTGTTTAAACATTTGCTGTGAATATACGCTTTTTTAAATAATTGTTCGTTTATAATAAATAAATAATTATTGCTTTTATAACTTTTTTATACTTTCCTTAAGAATTAGATACATTTCCGATAAAAATCAAGTAGGCAAACCCTACATTTTCTGAAAGCTCATGGTATGGGCTATCCTGGTATGGCCTCATTTACAGGGTGTTCCATTTGAAAAAACTGAGAAAAAAAGTGGTCCCGAGTTTTGGTTGCCCCTGTATGGGAAAAGCGCCATTCGGTAAAATTATGAATAGGAAATGAAAATACACTATTTTCGAGAATATTCGGCAGAAAAAAAAATTTATTCCAAATTATTGATTTAGAGATATTTGATGTTGAATAAACCCATTATGTTACCTAAATCCCACCATAAATTCCTAAACACCCAGTATAAACCCATGCAACCCTATATTTTTGAGAAACATTCTTCCAAAGAAATTGAATCGAGTAAAAATATATAGGGTGTTTCCTTTAAAAAAACATTACTTTGATAACTCATACATTTATCGGACACCCTGTATATTGGTAGTTATTTTTGGAATGTAGCTTTCAATGCCCTCTACAACTTTTATTTGAAGCATTTTTTCCTATCTCATATAGGGAAGCAGCTATCGTTCACCCACGCATCGTTGATACACCCTGTATTTTAATCCTGGAGAAACATTTTTATCTACATTCGCAATCATTACCCACTATTCTTTTAGGTATTATCCTTTTATCTTTCACAGTAGTATATTCCTAGCCTGCAGCAATTTTTGATTTTCTAATATTTCGTTCCCATGTATCTACGTCTGGTTCTCTTCTTTCTCTTTTATTATTTACTTAAAACGGTTGTATCCTGTTTTTTGACAATTTATTTTTCTTCAAGCGTTTATGATTATCTAAGAATCGCCGTAAGCCACTTGTCCGTGGACGACTTCCGTCGGCGAGTACTCACTTCCCGACGATTCAAACGGCTCCTCGCCTTCAGAAGGCGAAATTATTTCTGCACTCCAATATATTGAGAAATACAAAGGTATTCAATAAAGAACAGCAGTATACTAATCATCCTGAAAATAAAATCTCGACTCGAAGCGAAATGCACACGCTGACCTTGGTAGCCAAGTCCCCACTATAAAATTTATTCAACGGTTTTTGGTGTAAAAGCCGGTCAAGACTAGAACTTGGCCAGCTCTTGCTTCCAAGTTTAAGGGCGGCTAAGTCTCAAGAGCATATAAAGTTTTATTATGCTTCGGACATGGCTGATTTTTGCATCAAACGATCGGTAATCGTTTAAAATATATATTTACGTAGAAAACTCATTTTGGCTAAAAAAATGGACTTGTCTGGTTTTTGCACCAGTCTTCAATTATTGTTATAAAAGTTCATTTTCGAACACTATTATCCGGGAAAACTTTATATTCTTTGGTCATAATGTGATAAAAATATGTTTGAATAAATTGCCAGACCGAGGTACTGGCTTCTGGATATTTTATATTAAACTCGAAAAATATTTTAAAACATACGTCCACTGCTTTCAAAGCAACGAAAAATTTTTATTTGGTTATTTGACCTTAATTGGATATGGAGATGAAGTAAAAAGACTCTTCCAAAAACTTTATTTCAGAGACAAGAGATTTAAGATAAGATCATTGCCAAACTGTTTCATATCACTAGTTTTAATTATTCTAGACATCAAGTTTGTAAGTATTTAAATTTGGAAAACTAGAATATATAACAGCAATTTGATTGGATGTTGCTTTATCTCCTATGGATTATTAATTTCTAAGTCATCCACGTACAAATAAAATGGGATAATAATGCCTCCTTTGCATCTTTCCATTTATTGTGTTCATAATACCACATCCATAAAAGCACTCACTATACTACTATCTTTTTGTGATAGGCGGGTCAAAACATTCTGCAAATTATTTCTTTTTTCATTTTTTTTTTTTTTTTTAATAGAGGCATTATCGTACCTCTCATTTCATTAGATTGAAAACTAGTTTTTCCATCTATATAAATTAGTATTATTTCTTTATTAATGGTGAACTGATTAACGTTTTCCATACAATTGTTTTTTATCAGCCATTGTTGTAATCTGTAATCAGTTTTACAAAAATCAACTGATGTAATTCAAAAAACTGTAACGGCAAAGTTGAATCGCTCATTTTTATGTTAATAAATTTTTGAATATAAAGTATCATGGGTTGTATCAACTCATAGATGACGCTCTCTAAAGTTCGTTGTCTTTTGTTGAAAACTTGCTGTTACTCTGCATGCTCAACAAAAATTTACCAATATTTTTATGTAGCACCATAAAGCTACTATGCCATACAGCATTATCATCAACCAGTAAATGACAATCAAAAGATTTATGACAATTAGATTTATTTGTTGTCGATTCCGGATTATTGAAATCTTCGAAAATGCATCCTCTAAACTCTTGTTTACGTCCACAAAGTCTGTTGTAATTAATTTTACATTTTAATAAAGTTTACGAACGTAAATTGCCGTTTGTAATAAACATAATTAGTTGTAATGTTCGGTATTCATACATTTTTCTTAACATTAAGTTTTCTTGTGTAAAAAGTTTCCGCTCTGAGTTTGTGAAATTTGTGTTTTTCTATATGACTTCTTTTCTTGATTATCAGCACCTATGTTTTTTAGTTTAGTTTCCAAGGAAGACTTTTAGACTTTAACTTCGTCGCAGTCATTTGATCTAGGATAACCAAATTCAATGTTAAATTTTGTCGTGAAAATTAGACTCATAAGATTCATAACTTAGTTTCTGACTCAGATATTTTTCACAAAAAAAGATATACATCTTTTTAATATTTAGATTCTCTGTAAGATACAGTTTTCTTGATTTTTTAAAACTATAATGAGATGCTCGACATTTAAATGATCTGATATGTTCCTCAGCAAGTTGCACCATTTCTGGACTCATCTTTTCTGGTCGATAATATTATTATTTTCGACTTTGATAGCGCCCGACAAAAAATACACTGCACGCTTGAACACGATTACAAAATAAATACGAATAAATCGACTCCCCCTTGGATTGGTTATTCGTAAATTGAAACTTAAATAAACCATTGTAAGCTTTTTTTTAGACGCGATTGTAAGGCACTTAAATCGGTCTTTTAATGGTTTACTGTAGACAAAATAAAATTCTTATGCTGAACTGCCATTTGGTGTAATAATCCTAATTTTCGATATTTTGGACATATATCGTTTTTCACCGATGCTCTAACATGTGACAATAGTTAAAATAGTATTGACAAACAACAATAACAAAAACATATAAATAAGGCTTGATTATGAACACATGGGTGGCGAAACTTGTGGCTGACGGTAGGTATCGAACAATCGTGCATTTCCAAAATGTCATACGTGAACGTTCTCTACCGACGATGTCTAGAGAGACTTGGAGCAGATGAACTTCCGGCCGTTTAAAAACTTTTAAAATTTAAGATAATTTCTTACATTTAAACTTTGAACTGTACTTAGAACCCTAAGGCAGCCTAAACATGGAAAACCAGAAGGTTCCAAGCGCCAGTTTAATGATAATGAACTTAATTTATTAACAAAAATTTGTGAAATTAAATACAGTTATTAAAAATACATCTTTTATTTTAATAGATAACTACAATTCAAACAGTTTTTATTTGAATGGCAACAACAAAGCATTTAAAAAAATATATAATGTAAACCAAAGAGAAAAAATTATTTATTTTTAAATTCTATTGACTCAATCTTTTTGTTTGTAAAACTCTTAGTTTCAATACTAAAGGTTGCATCCATTCTATTTAGTTCTTTAGATGTAATTTTTTCTTTGTGACCTTTTCTAGTTTTCATTTCTTTCTTTACATTTGTTTTTATAAATTGTGAAGAAAGATTTTCCACTTTATATTGAACCTCAAAAGAACTACCTTGCAAAAATTTTAATTGGCAGACTTGTAAGGTACATAACCTATCTGTACTTTTGTTATAATCAAAAGAATGTTTGGGCTTCATGTTATTAATGTAAAAAGGCTTTTTATATCAGTCTTTAGCAAAAGTTTTACAAGTGGGGACCATATATCTTGTACTCGCATAAATTTCTTAATACGGACATGAATGTTGTTGACAACATATACACCGTGTCCCACGTAAGGCGGGCATTACAACTTTATGGAGAATAAATTAATTTGTATTTTCGGCATTTTCTGAGTATACATAATCGAATATGCTCTTTTGAATTAAAATAAAATGAACTCTGTGCAACTTCCGGTTATACCGGAAGTGACCACTAACTTCGTTATTTTAAAGGGAATACCCCATATTTTTTTTTAATTTTAGATTCAGCATGAAATTCTGTAAACAACGATACCCCATTTGCCTATTCTAGTTATAGCGGATTTGGCGTTATTCAATTTTTTTCTACATTTTTAGTCGCCGGTAGACATTTTCTTAAAGTCGTCTATCTCAGGTACTATATTTATCAGATACTTAAAATTTTAACCAGAGGTAGTAGATGGGATGTACTTCTTGAGAATATTCATTATTTGTTGTACGGGGTGTTTGCAAATTATTTTTAAAAATGAAATTTTTTAAACATAAAAAACTTTTTTATTTTAAAGGGAACACCCTATATATTTTTTAAATTTAGGATTCAGCATGAAATTCTGTAAACAATGATACCATATTTGCCTATTCTAATTATAGCGGATTTGGCGTTATTCATTTTTTTTTTTAATTTTTAGTCGTCGCGCCGGTAGGCATTTTCTTAAAGTCGACTGTCTCAGGTACTATTTCTGTTGGATACTTGAAATTTTAGCCAGAAGTAGTAGATGGGATGTACTTTTAAAAACATTTACAGTTTTCTGCAACAAAATATGTCGTTTAAAAAGTTTAAATTTTTTTAATGATAAGGTACATACTAACTAAAAACAATTTTTATTAAAAGCACATGGTTTAAAAAAATCATTTTATCAAATGTTCAAAATGCCCCCCGTTAGCTTCTAAACATTTTAACAATCTTTTTTCAACATGATTAGTTGTTGCTTTACGAATCATTTCACCATCTAACTCGTTAAAGGCATTCCGAACTCTTTGCTCTAATTCTTCTTTAGTATTAATTTGGGTAGAGTTCACTAAATTTTTAATATGACCCCATAAAAAAAACAACAGGAGTTAGATCTGGCGATCTTGCAGGCGAAAGCCAAGGACCATTTGGACCTATCCATCGGTCTTCAAAGAGTGCTGTAATTTCTTGATTTACATAGTATGTTGAATGTGCTGGGGCACCATCCAACTGGTACCAAAAATTATTATTTGGTAGCTGGTTTAAAATGTCGGCAACTACTTCTCTAAGAATTCTAATGTATCTTTCTGAGGTCAGTCTTTCATTATAAATGTAATGAAAAGCTCTTCCAAAACCGATCACTGCAAACACATTAAAACTAAATTCGTACTGAAATTGTGCTTCACGATAAAAATGTGGATTTTCGTTTGCCCAGAAATGACATTGCTTGCGATTGATGATCCCTTTACGTGTAAATTTCGACTCGTCTGACCACAAAATTTTGTTTAAAATCTCGGGATCTTCTTGAATTCGTACCAATAACCATTCGCATAATTCAGTTCGTCTTATTTGATCACCATCTCGCAACTCATGAACTTTTCTTTGTGCATAGGGATGCCATTTATTTAGTGCTAAAATTCGTTGTATTGACCCTCGACTAATATTTAAATTATCTTAAGCCATTCTAATGGAGGCGTGAGGATACGCAGTAAAATACCCTAATACGTTAATTAAATTAACTTCTTCATCTCGGACATAATGTTGACGGTTTCTTCCCGGGTTTTGTTTAAAATTATTCAAAAAGTTAGCTTCGATTCTATCAAATTTCTGTCTGTTCATTGGTGGTAAATGAGGGTATCGTTCATTAAACATGCGGCAGGTTCTACTTTTGATTCGATTAAATTCTCCATGAATGTAAAATAAATTAAGAATATCTTGGTTGGTATATTCTTCAATATTTTCCATATTTTGAACGCAAAAAATACACAACTTAAATACATAGAAATATGACAATTCAATTTGTTGACAGATTGTTGTTTAGCATATTTCCACGGCATACTAAGATAAAAAATTAAAATGTAAAACTATACTATATTATGTAGGTGCATGCGTAAAATTTAAATTTAAATTTTCTTAAAATTGGCGAGAGATAATTATAGGGAATTAATAGCGCAAATGAAGATCAATGAAGAATAATTTTCTGAACAAAATGAAATAAAAATAAAAAAAATTTTCATGTTTAAAATATTTATTTTTTAAAATAATTTACAAACACACAGTCGAACAAACGATGTACAAGTAAATTTAAAAAAGCAAATGTCTGCCGGCATATAAAAGTTTATAAAAAACTGAATAACGCCAAATACACGATAATTAGAATAGGCGAATGGGGTATCATTGTTTACCGAATTTCATGCTGAATCTAAAATTTAAAAAATATATAGGGTGTTCAATTTAAAATAAAAAAGTTTTTTGTTTAAAAAATTTCATTTTTAAAAATAATTTGCAAACACCCCGTACAACAAATAATGAATAACTAAATATTCTCAAGAAGTACATCCCATCTACTACCTCTGGTTAAAATTTTAAGTATTTGATAGATATAGTACCTGAGATAAACGACTTTAATAAAATGTCTACCGGCGACTAAAAATGTAGAAAAAAATTGAATAACGCCAAATCCGCTATAACTAGAATAGGCAAATGGGGTATCGTTGTTTACAGAATTTCATGCTGAATCTAAAATTAAAAAAAAAATATGGGGTATTCCCTTTAAAATAACGAAGTTAGTGGTCACTTCCGGTATAACCGGAAGTTGCACAGAGTTCATTTTATTTTAATTCAAAAGAGCATATTCGATTATGTATACTCAGAAAATGGCGAAAATACAAATTAATTTATTCTCCGTAAAGTTGTAATGCCCGCCTTACGTGGGACACGGTGTATACAGGAATGCCCGGGTAAGGAATATTTTATTATAATTTATTTGTAATTTTGATATATTTATAAAAAATTGGCCAGCTAATGAGAAAAAACTGTTCCTATTTTGAGGAACACAACTATTGCTCCAGGTTATTATTCCTGTTATGTTGGGATTGTTTAAAACAATTTTTTCAAGAATTTGCATGAGTGTACTTGCAAAGTAATTTCCAGATCTACCGCATGTAGTTTCTGACCAAACAGCGCAATAATATTGCTTGTTAGTAGAATTATGTGTAGTTAAGTTATAACCATTCATTTTTTGTTCATAAAACAGGACTGAAACATCTGATTTTGGTACATTTATAACATTTTGTAAATCAAAACAGACGATAGCACAGTTGAAATCTGTATTTCTACCATCTTGTTCCCGTTCTCTTCTCATTAGGATTTTCTTTAAAATATGCTGCCTGTTTAACAGTTCCAGTTCTTCACTCATTCTGTTCTCTCGTAGGGCAATTTTATACTCTTCACAAAAATCACATCGGTCACTTTCTGGTTTAAGAAAATCAAGATTATATTCATAGTTGAAAATGTGTCTGTACCACGAAACACTTTGTGGACGAATTTTCTTTTCTAAACAATATTCAACGTACAAGTCATACATTTTCTTAATGTTTAATAAAGGACCAACGTATTGTTTTTTAGAGTCGGATGAGACTCCACGAAAGGACAAGTCTCTATGTATTTTTTTATTTCGTCTTTATTTTCCTTTGTTATACGATCTTGGTATATTTGCCCCTTACTGGCTTTTGGCTAACACAAGGTGGTAAAAAAACTTTTGTATATCCTGTCGTTTTCTTTTTCAAAAAATACTCAAATGTAAAAGACAGGTAATTTGTAACATTACTTCTATTTCGTTTTATCAGTATTTTTTTTGTATTGTTTAATAAAAAATAATTTTTATCATTTTGATCCATAGAGTAAATAAGTATTTCTTATTTCTTCCCTCAGAGCTCCATTGTAAAGTTTTTTGTGCACTGAAATCTGCAGCTTTCAGTGCAATATTTATTTTCATCAATCTTTTTTGCAGGTTTTAATTCTCCTTTGCTGTTTATATAACTTTGCCCCTTTTGGTTCTTTTCTTTTCTTTGGTTACTTTTCGTAGACTAATATTTCTCTTTCGTTTACGTGTTCTATACTTTGCCTTCTCATAATGATTTGGATGTTTCGGAATCAGTTTAATTGACTATACGATTGTCAGCACAAGTATTATTGTCGTTCTGATAAGTTCTATAAAAAAGGTTAATAAATTAGCACAATATTCTAGTACCAATTTCAGTATTCCTTACTTGACTATCGAACGATGATCCTCTGATATTAGGTTTTGAACATTCTTATTTGCTGAGCTTAAGGGCTCCCCAATTTTAGGATAAAGTCTGCAATAAGATAAATTTTTAACGAAACAAGGTACACATAAAAAATACTTTACTTTCCAGAAACGTTACTTAATTATTATCGTTTTCAATAGTAAAATTATTAAAGTTATTTAGCAATTCTTCTAATTCATTCATGAAGTTATTGTAATATTCTTAGATTTATTTTTAATACATGAATATTTAATAAACTTATATTCTTAACAACTAGGTATCTCTCCTCAAAGGTTAATTGGAGGGTAAGGAAAGGCAAAAAGGACCTTGTCACTTACAGTATTCGCCTGGAGTACGTTGATCCTCTTCCGACTCTAATTTCACTTCTTTGAGCTTTTGCGCCTTCGATAATCCACTGAAGAGGTAGATTCTTTGGATTTTCATTTCGATGTTGAAATACCGAAAACTGCGAAAATGCTTTTCCACTGCCCGCACGAATCCTTCTGACTGCGCCAGAAACGATTTGAGGATTCTAAAATGCGTGTTTAAAAAATTATTTATTTTTAATTAACAACAATATTTTTATGACTACTACAAACGAAGGTTTAATTAACCCTCTATGGTGCAATATAAAAAAATTTAAAACAATGACAACGCCGCTTCATATTACTACTTACTAGTGTCAATAAAATACAATTGTGCTAATTTTTCATTTTTTTTTTTTTTAGAATATTATACAAAAAAAATATGTATATTTGAATATACATTGTACAAAAAAGTCTTACTGTTTTTAATTTTTTATTTACGTTCAATGTATATCTGAATATACAAAACAATAAAACACAAACAACAAATATGCCTTATATACCTACAAATAAAAAATAGCCAATGACTTACATAATAGGAAAATAATGAAATACTAACTAATTATGAAAATTATAAAAGCAGTTCCTATCAGGTAAAAAACACAAAAAAAACATCACATTTTAGGCATTTTACTTTTGTTATCTTCTGTCAGCTTGAATTTTTGCATCGGCCTGTTTTGTTTTCATACTGAGGCCAATGATCCAGTTTATCAATCCAAAAACAACAACAGACATTAAACGTTTTGTAGGAATGTGTAGTTGGTATAGACGATTTATTCCAAATTTTTCAAATAAAATGTCACCAATAAATAATTTGTTACAAAGTAGAAAAAAGGGGCAAAAAATTAACTGGAATTCTAAAGCAGAATTAGCTTTTAAAGAAATTAAGGAGCTTTTAATTTCAGCACCAATTGTATGTTCACCTGATTTTTCTTTACCTTTTTATATACAATGTGATGCTAGTAATACAGGCTTTGGAGCTATTTTAACTCAAATTCAAAATAATACAGAAAAAGTAATAGAATTTGCATCTAGAGGTCTAAGTAAGGCAGAGAAAAATTACACAACAACAGAAAAGGAATGCCGTGCATGTATTTTTGCATGTGAAAAGTTTAGAGCTTACATTGAAGGGGTAAAATTTACAATAATTACTGATCACGCCGCACTTAAATTTTTATTTAAAATGAAAGAACCTTCGGACCGTTTAGCTCGTTGGAGTTGTAAACTCAGCCAATTTGAATTTAATATAGTACACAGGAGTGGGAAATATATGATAGTTCCAGATGCATTAAGTAGAAGCCCTGTAGACTTACCAAAAATGGATAATGAAATTTTAGCAATTTCAAATCACAATGTAATATCACTAGATATTGATTTATCTAATTTAGATTCTTTTTATAAAAGAATGAGACATAGGATTTTAGAAAATCCAGATAAATTTCCTCAATGGTTGGTTAAAGAAAATTATGTATATAAATTATTACCTTCTCGAGTTCCATTAGATACAAATATATCTGATTGGAAGCTTTTAGTACCGAAAGGTCAAAGGAAAAAAATTTTAGAGTCTTGTCATGACGATCCTACGGCGTCTCATGCAGGTTTTAGAAAAACATATGAGCGAGTAGCATTAACATAGTATTGGCCAAAAATGCGTCAAGATGTTTATAAATATGTCAGAAATTGTAAGGAATGTGGTGCACAAAAACCTATAAATCATGCTAAATTTGGTTTAATGGGTTCTGAAAAAGTAGTGCATTTTCCATGGCAAGTCATTGCACTAGATTTATTAGGTCCACTACCTTGAAGTTTTAGTGGAAATCAATACCTACTAGTAGTAAGTGATTGGTTCACAAAGTACCCAGTGTTATTTCCTCTTCGCAACGCTCAAACTCCAAATATAGTAAAACATTTAGAGAAGGATATATTTTTAGTTCATGGAGTTCCACAAAATATAATTTGTGATAATGGTAGACAATTAGTTAGCAAAGCCATAAAAAAGTTGGTATCTGACTATGGTTCTCGGTTTTCCTCCACTCCCTTTTATCATCCATCTCCAAATTTTGTTGAACGATGGAATAGAACAATTTATAGTGCAATTAGGTGTTACATCTCTGAAAATCATAAGACTTGGGATAAAGAACTGGCAAAAATCAGCATGCTTTAAGAACAAGTGTTCATGAGGTAACGGGTTACAGCCCAGCTTTTTTAAATGTTGGCAGAGTTGTTCCATGTAATGGAGAATATTATGGAAAATTCCCAAGTACTGAAATCTTGCCTGATAGCCATGAATTTTGGGCAAAAAATGTTACCGGTCTGAGGGACATTTTTAAACAAGTTGAAAAAAGGTTACATAATGCACATGTTACAAATAAAAAATATTACAATTTAACCCATTAGCGCCGAAAAATAAAAAAAATTAAAATTATTAAAATTTATAGTTGCAACTTATTGTTAGTAAATAAAAGAACATGTTTTGAAAATATTTTATTTTTTTTTTAAATAATAGTACCCTTGGGAAGGTGTTCCCATATGGTACCTTTAGGTGCAACCCCAGTATTACACACTTATAGAAATTACACATTAGTTATTCTTAAAAATATTTCTACTGAATATGAAATGAGCGAAAGCAGTCGATACAAAGCCCTATATTGCACTTTGAGCACATTGTTCTTCCTCTGCTCTTACAATTTTCACCAGCACATCTTCTTCTTTTACCTTCAGGTATCGAAATGACGTAATGATGTAATCCGTCATATCTTAAATCATTACTGACCCTGGAATCAGCAGCAGCAGCTTTCGGAATTCGACCTGGATTTCGAGGCGGTACACCATATCTTGTCAGATATGTCTGAAAATTAAAAATACTACACTTTTAGTAGTCCTATTATTTTAATAAATATTGGAAGTTTTACCTGTACAATATTTCTTCTAAAATCTAACTGACTTATCTTTCTTCCACTCTTTCTATATAATGTCCAGGCGTTTTGAATTGCAGCATCAATCAGATAAGTAAAAATGGGCCAGTACCACTTTTTTCAGCGAACTCCAATACGGTAACTAAAAAATATATGTAAAATCACAGGTATAAATAAAATCAATAAAATAACTACCCATGAAATATTGTTGTCCATCTGGTCGGTCCCGCCCATATTCTTGTTATATTGCATGGTCAAATCTGGCCGTGGTACATTAACAATCTTCTTTTCACTTCTACTGAACCTCTGAACTGCCTTTACTGGTGCTACGCCATAAGAAGTGCTTGCCATCGTTACCACCTTATTATCAAGCCATCTTACATATAATATACCACTTTCTTTCTCTAATATAGCAGAATAATCACCTCTGCTTTGCTTTTCTAATTGCTTTGTAGGTAAAAGAGGACAGTTCTTTGGCAATCGGTTTTCACGTATAGTACCAGTTCCGCCATAACCATTTGCTTTCAGAGTACATAATAAATTGGCACCAGTGAATAAATTATCGAAAAAGAAATTATATCTAAAGTTTTTTTTGTCACCCATTTCTTCTATCATTTGCAACAATGGAGCTGCTGCTTTACCATAGGACTTCTCGTATTCTGTATTTGATCTGGGATTCTTTCCTTGATAAATTTCAAAATTGATTAGATAGCCACTCGGAGTGTTTAGGCTCCAAACTTTATAGCCGAATCTTACAGGTTTGCCACGAATGAACTGCTTGCATCCATGGCGACCAAAATACCTGATCATCGATTCATCATATGATAGGTTTTCCTCGGGTACAAAGTGTTGAATAAATCTTTCTTTTATTTTATCTGTTAGGGATCGAAGCTTATACATTTTTCCGATTTATCAATATCATTATTGTTTGCAACATGAATAAATTTGCAAATCTGCATAAAACGATCCCTTCTCATAGCTTCTGCTACCATAACGTTTTTTAAATCCTTGGAATTT